TGCTAAAAGAGATTTATTTTATCATTACCCTGGAATTGAAAACTGGGTAAAGATAGGAAAAATCAACAAATCCATGGAAATAGGAGAAGGAAGATGGCTTGTAAAAGGAGAAGAAAAAGAAACATTTACTAGCACTGATCTTCATATTTGGGACTTGAGAACACAAATAGTAGAATTGGAAATTGAATTGGATAAAAGAAATAATACTAGGAGAGAATTAGATGAAGATGACTTTAAAGATTTGAGAAGAGCATTCATTAGTAAATTTGAATTAATTAAATATACTGAGAAATTACAAGAAGAGCTACAAAGATTAAAAAATAAAAATGAAATAATTTGTGAAGAATTATTATGTAATAAAAATATAGATGAACAACATAAAGAAAGATTGGATAAAATAATCTCATTAGTAAATAGAAAGACATTGGCAGAACAATTAAATAAAGAATTACAAGAAGAAAACAATAAAGTTAAAGAATTATACAACCAACTTAAAAAAGAATTTAATGATATTATTCCATATCAAAAAAAAGAATTAGAAAATCTAAAATTTAAAGAACAAGTATTAGAAAATAGGTTATCATCATTTAAAATAGAAAACAAATCATTAAATAAAAGAAATAAAAAACTGGAAACTCAAATATTTGAAATGGGAACAACCCTTGAGACAAGTACATTAGAATATGAGGATAAAATTAAAGGATTGAACAAAATATTGAAAAGATTGACAATAACTTTTGAAGCAAGGATATCAAAATATGAAACTAAAGTTAATGAATTGAATGAAGAATTAAAAAAATTGAAAAAATATGAACAAATATCTCAAAAAATAATAGACATCTTCAAAAGAAGGAAAACACAAGAAAAATAAAGGAATAATATTTGAAATAGACGTAATTAGATAGAGAAAGACTCAAAGAAAATGTTTTATTAATACAAGAAAGTCAAAAGACTTAATAAATTATTAAAGAAAATTCAAATGAATATTTGAAATAAAAGATTCTAGAAAATTACTAAGGGAAATATCAACCCTTTTTATAATTAATCAGATTTTCAAAATCTGACCAAAATATATGAAAATATATGAAATTATATGAAAATATATGAAAAAGTTATGCAGGTTGGAAGTAAACAAATAAACAATGATATAAAAGCTAAAAATATAAGGAAAGATATTATAAAAAAACAAAAAGTAAAAATAGAAGGTATCACAACTAAGTGAACCAATAAAGATGTATTAATAAATATTGTACAAAATTAGCGGAATTATAACCATAAATAGTAATTGATGTTACACAAACTGATTTTAGATGAGTATCATATGTATTTTATCACATAACAATATTAAAAAGTATAATGGATTATAGTACAACTAAACGAATACACAAGTAAACTGAAATGTAACAACACACAAAGATAAATAATATATGGTACAATATTTGTGTAAATTTTCAGAAAGATCAGACGGATAGATAAAAAGTTATAATAAGATCTAATCATATTAAATTTAATCACACTAATTAAGGAAAACTATAAATCTAAATATTTTGACAATTAACCAATAAAATGAAAATCTGAACTGTGAAAAGCTTAACACAAATATAAACAATAAAATCACAAAAGGAAAACAGATTTTGAAACATGTGTAACAAATTATAAAAGAAAATAGATCCTTGAAGATCGACAATCATAAAAGACACAAACATAAAATTTGTGATCTTTTGAGAACCAACCAGCAAAATTAAAAATGGTACCACCAAAAATTAGACACATTGTATAGCAATGTTTCCACCAAGTATGGACTTTGGCTGAAGAATGTGTAAGGAGTTACACAATAAAGGACTGCATGATAAACAATGAAGTAATTTGATCATGATAATTAAATCAGAGATTATTGTGAAAATCTAATAAGAAATATGAAAAATAATTTAACCAAAAGAAAAATACCTTTGAGAATTATAGTTTGATTGGACAGGATGTCACACAATTGAATCTATAGGAAAATAGATAATAAGATCTTTAGTAATCAAAAAGCGAGCAATGCAGATCATTAATTAAGTAATATGTAGAAGTTATGTGAATATCACGGGATAAATATAGAAATATTACACATATAAAATGTGACATTATAAGTAACACAGGAACTAAAAATATAAATAAAATAATAGGAATAAAATAGGAAAATAACTCGTGGAGA